CCTTAGAGTCAATGGTCTAATTTTTGATTTTTTCTTTAGAAATCTGGGAAACCTGGGGGAACCAATTATTTTTTTTATTTATTAAAGAAGCTTTTAGCTTCAACATACTGAAATTTTATGGAAAAATAGCCCAGGATAACGGAGTAATGTTTTTTACAATCCGATAACACACATTAGTGGTATTTCTGCCTTAGAGTCAATGGTATAATTTTTGATTTTTTTTCTGGAAATCTAGGAAACCTGGAAGAACTAAATACTTTTTTACTTATTGGAGAAGCTTTCAGCTTCAACATACTAAAATTTTATGGAAAAATAGCCCAAAATAACGGAGCTATGATTTTCACAAACAGATAAACACACTGAGTAATATTTCTGCTTTAGAGTCAATGGTCTAATTTTTGATTTTTTTTTCTGGAAATCTGGAAAACCTGGAGGAACTAAATATTTTTTTATTTATTAGAAAAGCTTTCAGCTTCAACATACTAAAATTTTATGGAAAAATAGCCCAAAATAACGGAGCTATGATTTTCACAAACCGATAAACACACTAAGTGATATTTCTGCCTTAGAGTCGATGGTCTAATTCTTTATTTTTTTTCTGAAAATCTGGGAAATCTGGAGGAACCAAATCTTTTTTTGTTAATTAAAGAAGCTTTCAGCTTCAACATACTAAAATTTTATGGAAATATAGCCCAGGATAAGGAAGCTATGATTTTTAAAATCCGATAAAACACACTGAGTGATCTTTCTGCCTTAGAGTCAATGGTCTAATTTTTGATTTTTTTTTCTAGAAATCTGGGAAAGCTGGGGGAACCAATTATTTTTTTATTTATTAGAGAAGCATGCAGCTTCAACATACTGGAATTTTAGGGAAAAATAGCCCAGGATAACGGAGCTATGATTTTTATAATCTGATAAACACACTTATTGATATTTCTGCCTTAGAGTCAATGGTCTAATTTTTGATTTTTTGTCTGGAAATCTGGGAAACCTGGAGGAACCAAATATTTTTTTACTTATTAAAGAAGCTTTCAGCTTCAACATACTAAAATTTTATGGAAATATAGCCCAGGATAACGGAGCTATGATTTTTATAATCTGATAAACACACTTATTGATATTTCTGCCTTAGAGTCAATGGTCTAATTTTTGATTTTTTCTCTGGAAATCTGGGAAACCTGGAGGAACCAAATATTTTTTTACTTATTAAAGAAGCTTTCAGCTTCAACATACTAAAATTTTATGGGAAAATAGCCCAAAATAACGGAGCTATGATTTTCACAAACCGATAAACACACTAAGTGATATTTCTGCCTTAGAGTCAATGGTCTAATTTTTGATTTTTTTTCTGGAAATCTGGGAAACCTGGTGGAACCAATTATTTTTTTATTTATTAGAGAAGCTTTCAGCTTCAACATACTGAAATTTTATAGAAAAATAGCCCAGGATAACGGAGCTATGATTTTTACAATCCGATAAAACACACTTAGTGATATTTGTGCCTTAAGAGTCAATGGTCTAATTTTTGATTTTTTTTCTGAAAATCTGAGAAACCTGGAGGAACCAAATATTTTTTTGTTCATTGAAGAAGCTTTCAGCTACAACATACTGAAATTTTATGGAAAAATAGCCTAGGATAACGGAGTTATGATTTTTACAATCTGATAAACACATTTATTGATATTTCTGCCTTAGAGTCAATGGTCTAATTTTTGATTTTTTTCTGGAAATCTGGGAAACTTGGATGAACCAAATATTTTTTTTATCAATTAAAGAAGCTTTCAGCTTCAACATACTGGAATTTTATGGAAAAATAGTCCAGGATAACGGAGCTATGATTTTTAAAATCCGATGAAACACACTGAGTGATCTTTCCGCCTTAGAGTCAATGGTCTAATTTTTGATTTTTTTTCTAGAAATCTGGGAAACATGGGGGAACCAATTATTTTTTTATTTATTAGAGAAGCTTTCAGGTTTAACATACTGAAATTTTATGGAAAAATAGCCCAGGATAACGGAGCTATGATTTTTAATATCTGATAAACACTCTGAGTGATATTTCTGCCTTAGAGTCAATGGTCTAATTTTGGATTCTTTTTCTGGAAATCTGGGAAACCTGGAGGAACCAAATATTTTTTTACTTATTGAAGAAGCTTTCAGCTTCAATATACTAAAATTGTATGGAAAAATAATCCAAAATAACGGAGCTATGATTTTAACAATCTGATAAACACACTGAGTGAAATTTCTGCCTTGGAGTCAATAGTCTAATTTTTGATTTTTTTTCTGGAAATCTTGGAAACCCGGAGGAACCAAATATTTTTTTATTTATTAAAGAAGCTTTCAGCTTCAACATACTTATATTTTATGGAAAAATAGCCCCACATAATGGAGCTATGATTTTTACAATCCGATTAACACACTTGTGATATTTCTGCCTTAGAGTAAACGATCTAATTTTTGATTTTTTTTTCTGGAAATCTGGGAAACCTGGAGGAACCAAATATTTTTTTACTTATTAAAGAAGCTTTCAGCTCGAACATAATCCAAGTTTATGGGAAAATAGTCCAAAACAATGGAGCTATGATTTTTACAATCCGATAAACACACTGAGTGATATTTCTGCCTTAGAGTCAATGGTCTAATTTTTGATTTTTTTCTGGAAATCTGGGAAATCTGGAGGAACCAAATATTTTTTTACTTATTAAAGAAGCTTTCAGCTTCAACATACCAAAATTTTATGGAACAATAACCCAGGATAACGGCGCTATGCTGTTTACAATCCGATAAAACACACTGCCTCAAAAATTAAAGTTTTTAGAATCTTTTAAATCTTCTTCAACAGCTTTGCAATGCATCTTATATTCTTTAAAATTTTCACTATTTTCGGGTCTTCATTCAACTTTTGTCTCAATAAGTCTCTTATCAACAAAATCATTATTCTTCCATACTGAAATCTTGAAAATATCAGTTTGTAAGACTTTGTCTTTATAGTGTTTCGTTTCGTCATGAATCTCAATTTTCAAGATCTTTGGACTATGATGTTTTAAAAGCTTGAAATCTTGAGGCATTTCTAAAGAGGTTTTTGGTGGTAAGTCAACAGAGTCTTCAGTCTTGATGAGACAAAGGTCTCTCTGAAGTCCTTCTTAAGTCTTAGTGAGCGGCTTTAGAATTTCAAAAGCTGGATTCTAAATTCAGTGTTAGATGTCAGAACATCAGACTGTCTTCATAGTCTTGGTTCAAAAACCTTGAATAATGAAGCTTCAGAAGCCTTCAAAGTTTTTAATTCACACTCTTCACATTGTGCTTTAGAAATCTTTAGAGCATATGAATCTATCTATCAGATCTACGGAGTTTTTGGAACTTTTAAAGAGCAATTAAATCTCATATATCATTAATTAGCTGACTATTTGGATTCCACGTTCTATAATCTCAAAAATTGATTCCTCAGAGATCTTGGCTTAATCAAACTCTTTTTAGTTTTGAATTTTTAGAACTTTTGGGAGTCTTAAGTGTTGAGACAGTTAAAAATTTCCAATATTCTTCAGTGATATTCTTCATAAGATTTGAATCGAGAGCCTGAGAATCTTGACGTCTTCTTTAAACGTATATTCTTCATTCAAAGATAAATAACTTCGAAATCTTTGAGATTAGTGAAATCACTGGAGGTGTAGATAATCCAGAAAAATAATACTTTCTTAACTATATTTGCTTCTGAGGCAAAAACTTTTAAATATTCAAAAGCCTGGTGTTAAAAAAGTGAACCAGACAGACAGAAGTTCTTGGCATTGTGAAGGCAAGTAAGTACTCAAATTACACTGAGACAACCTTCAAGTGAAATCCAACAGGTTCCAGGTTTCAGGCACACATTCCCAACCACATGTCGAGCATATGCAACAAGTACAACAAACAAATCTCTCTATAATATATGGCGTCTTACACTTACAAAAGTTTCAGGAATTAGTTTTTTTTTTTATATACTTAATTTCAACCAGATGTTTTCTGGGTTCTGGATTATAAGGTTTTTTTCATTTTTTTTTTTTTACGCTCCTCCCCATGTGTTGTACAGGAAACGTCAAACGATTCGTGGAGCTTTTGGGAAATATTAAAACCACCAAGTAAATAAGAACAGGTAGATTTTTAACTTCGTAGAATTTTTAACATCACAGTGCTAAGAGGCGATTTCCTATTGAAAACGTGGCGACGCATTTTCGGTGTTTATTTTCGACCCTGTTGACAAAATATACAGAGTGTGTCAACAGTTAAACTTAAGTCATCAGTGGACTTTACAAGAAGTTATAAATTTGAATGGTTATTTCACTGAGTCAAATAACACAAATTCTTTGGTGGAAGTCAACACTGTAGAGATTATATTGGTCGTTTTAAGCCGATTGTAAGTTGTAATGTAAATCAAAGGATTTTTGATTGTATGGTGGCATGTTTTGATGCGTTTGCCAGTGGCGGAGCGAATTCAGTATTATTATAAAGTCTATGTCATTACAGTTTACAGTTGATAGCTCAAATCGAGGTTTAGGACCCTTGATTATTGAGATTCAATAAATCTTAACCCTTTTCCTCCTGTACAATTCGTACGAAATTAAAAAATTTAGCTGCGCCCATGGGTCAGTCGACGGGCCCTCAGGTAAAATGCGCCTCGACTCGTTTGTACCAAGAGAGAGTGTGGGCCGACGGTTTTATCTATTATCTGGTCTGCATGGGCACGCCCGTATTGGAGGCTCTTTGTATTTCTCTCCTCTTGTTTGTTCATTTTTTTTTTCAGCAGAGCTATACAGTTTCGGCATAGAGGGAAACCCTCAGGGGCCTCAATCAGTCCGATCACGACAACATAAGAGTTTTATTTGAAAATTTCATATGTATCAGGAACAAATTTGCTTTGTTTCCAACATCTTGATGGCTTTTCCATTACTAACACTGTTCTACATTATACCTTTCTAATTACAAACCTAATAGATAAATTTTTTGAGATTTTGTATACTTACTTGCAAAAACTTTCTCCTTTCAAGGAGGGCGAAGATATACAGGTTCCGCCATTCTTGCACGGACTAGGCGAACAAGAGACAAAGCCTGGAACAGAGAAAAAACAAAAACCATTATTTACATCGGAGCGATCTTATTATTTCCAAGAATATCAGCTACTTGGCAATATGGTCAAGATTAAAAACTGATAAAACAAACGACATTAAAAGTAGCGAGCGCGAGCCTACATAATTCAGTAATTTGTAAAACGATCACGTACTAACTGTCGTTTGGGTCTTTTGTTCTTGTTTTTTAGAGGTCCGAGGAACTCGTGTTATTTTATTTTTCGACTCTGTTAACTTGTTTTTATACTAAAAAAAAAAATGTTTTGAAAACTAGTAGAATATGGGACAAACAAAAAATTCAAATTCCACCAAAGTTATTTCAGTAGGCAGAGAGATGAATGCACGTAGCAATGTCAATGTGGGCGATTTGAATATTTTAACAATGTTTTTATCATGGGGTCATCGTACCACTTCTACTTCGGAATGATTTCCCGAATTCTGGTTGATAATCGTTGAATTTGGCAACGGGGCGCGCCCCTCGTGTGTCACCACCTGCTCCGACCGTTAAAAGTGTGTGCATCCAGTGTCGGATGGGTTAGGGTGGGGGGTGGAATGACGTCACGCGGCAGCTGCACGATGTCTCGTATTCGGGTGGGTGAAACGGCAATAAGCGGTGGTTGGCAATGATGCCGATTCCTACTATTTTTCCCTGTTATATAAATGATTTATTGACCGTAATAAAACCCATTCTTTGTGAATTATTGCACAGGTTGTAGTACTTTCTTCTTCCTCTAAAAGATACTGAAAAAAACCTCATAAATAGTACAATCCTAGGAAGTTAAGATGAATAAATTTTTCTCAATAAAGACAAAACACTAATTGCTGTTTCCATAATATGTGTTTGTATGAGACACAGTAAGAAAAAATTACACCGGATTCAAACATCTGCGCTCACGGCCAAATTCTTAACCAAATAAGAATAAAGCTACATTTAACGTCTTTATCTTTGACAATGTTTATTTATTGTTAAGGACAAATGTGTGTGCGGTTATACAGGGTGATCGTTTCTTTAGGACAAAGAATGTTCTTTGAGGCGCTTCATTTTACATCTGTCATAGAAATTCATCATTTTGAAGTTACAATTTTAACAAACTGAAATTGATTCCCTATCAGTTTTGAACTTTTTCATAGATTTTTTTTTTTTAGATGAGGCTAGGCATGAGATTTCATTTTAAACTTAGAAAAATTCGAGGGGGTAGTCACTTGCGATTTTCTTCATTTGCGGAGATTTTCTTGGAACTTAATAGATCCTCATGGATGTACTTAAATCTCCAAAGATTTATCTTCTGCGATCTCCAAACATATTCTTGAATCTTCATGAAAGTACTTAAAGTACCAAGTACATTTATGAATACATCAACTTTTTAATGCCACCTTTAGGCCGCAAGTGCTGAAGTAGCTGCGCACTAATCACTTCGCATGGGTTATGACGTCACATTTTCTTTCACACTTTCGTCCCATTTCCCGAAATTTACAAAGTGCCGGTATATAAGTTTACAGTAGGTACACATCAAAAATTTAGCCAGAATCCAAAGTTTAAATAAATATGAATGTAGAGTCAAATAATTTTACTCAGTAATTAAATGTAAATGAAAATACCCGGGTACAACAAATGTGTTCAAGAATAAAAGCATGTACTCGGGTATTTTGAAATTTACTCAGTACACTAAAAAGTACCAGGTATTTTTTATATTCTTAAACAGTTCAAGTACAAATACAAATACCTACATGATTTTAAGTTGAATCCTTAGTTTGTAGGTTTAGGTTAAACACAACTGTTAAAAGGGTTCATCCACCTGTATTAGTTGTTTCAATAAATAAAAATAATTAAAAAATGATTCAAAAAGTATCTTGGCGTAAATGAATACCGAGTAACCCAAAATGTATTTAGAGTCTAAGTGTAGAGTACTTGTAACCGAGTACCGCACGGATCTGATCAAGAGCCAGTAATATGCAAAATTTGAAGTTTTATCGGTACTCGATTTTCTGGAAAATTTCAAAAGTTAGAACTATTACCAGTTCTCCATTCGCGGAAAATTGCTCTAGTGGCAATCAAGAGTCGGTAATAATCCAAATTATGATTTTTCTGAATCTTGATTCACTGGAAAAATGTTTGGATTATTCTCTAGTTTCCCAATGGCTATAAAATTACTCTAGAGCAATCAAGAGCCGTTAATAGTCCATATTTTGATTATTCTTGGCTCTTGACTATCACTGTAGCACCTTTCCAACAAATCCAGGGCCAATAATATTCAAAATTTAAACTATTATCGGTATTCGATTCGTTGGGAAATTTCAAAAGTTGGGACTATTGCCATAGTTCTCCATTCACTGAAAAAGTGCTCTAAGAACAATAAAAAATCAATGATAGTCCAAATTACCGGCTCTCGATTCATTGGAAAATTGCTCTAGTGGCAATCAAGAATCGATAATAATCCAAATTATGATTTTCTCTGGATCTTGATTCACTGGGAAATTGCTCTAATACGAATCAAGAACCGGTAATAATTCATATTTTGATTATTATCAGTTTTTGGCCATCACTAATATAGCATTTTTATGGTGAATCCAGAGCAGAGCTGTTCCGAGTACAGGCAAAATGTACTTGAGTACCGAGTAAAAGTACCGAAGGGTTAATCACTACCCGAAATTGTGTCACAAATTCGTCCGAAATCCTCGAAATTCTCGAAATCCTTCTGAAATCCACGAAATCACTCCGAAATCCTTCGAAATTACCCGAAATCCTTCGAAATCATCCAAAATCAACCGAAATCCCTCAAAATCGCTCTAAATCTGAAATCTTGCCACAGTGAATAATCTCTCGAAATCTTTCCAAAATCCTACCGAAATCCTCCGAAATCACCCAAAATCCCTCAAAATCGCTCTAAATCCGAAATCTTGTCACAGTTTTCCCTTAGTGAATAACCCCTCGAAAAGTACAAAATGTACTTGAATACAGAAAACAATTAGAAGTATTCAATACACAAGTACTTAAAGTACCAAGTACCATAATCCATTGAAATCTTTCCGAAATCTTACCGAAATCCTCCGAAATCACCCAAAAATCACCCAAAATCCCTCAAAATCGCTCTAAATCCGAAATCTTGTTACAGTTTTCCCTTAGTGAATAACCCCTCGAAAAGTACATAGCTCAAAATGTACTTGAATACAGAAAAAAATTACAAGTATTCAATACACAAGTACTTAAAGTACCAAGTACCATAATCCATTGAAATCTTACCGAAATCACCCAAAAATCACCCAAAATCCCTCAAAATCGCTCTAAATCCGAAATCTTGTCACAGTTTTCCCTTAGTGAATAACCCCTCGAAAAGTACATAGCTCAAAATGTACTTGAATACAGAAAAAAAATACAAGTATTCAATACACAAGTACTTAAAGTACCAAGTACCATAATCCATTGAAATCTTTCCGAAATCTTACCGAAATCCTCCGAAATCACCCAAAAATCACCCAAAATCCCTCAAAATCGCTCTAAATCCGAAATCTTGTCACAGTTTTCCCTTAGTGAATAACCCCTCGAAAAGTACATAGCTCAAAATGTACTTGAATACAGAAAACAATTACAAGTATTCAATACACAAGTACTTAAAGTACCAAGTACCATAATCCATTGAAATCTTACCGAAATCACCCAAAAATCACCCAAAATCCCTCAAAATCGCTCTAAATCCGAAATCTTGTCACAGTTTTCCCTCGTCACACCCCTCGAAAAGTACATAGCTCAAAATGTACTTGAGTACAGAAAACAATTACAAGTATTCAATACCCAAGTACCTAAAGTACAAGTACAATGCTACCTTAGGCCGCAATAAGTACTGAAGTAGCTGCGCACTAATCATTTCGCATGGGTTATGACGTCACACTTTCGTCCCATTTTTCGAAATTTACCCTCAAACCGCCGGTATAAAATTGAAAAATACATTTTAATTTACTATAAATCATTTCAGCAATTTTGAAGTTTGGTTTGCTTAGCCAAAATCCAGAGTTTATAAGGGTTCAGAATAAATATGTACCTACTACGTAGAGTCAAATGATTTTACTTAGTAACTGTAAATGTAAATGAAAATACCCGAGTATAACAAATGTGTTCGCATATAAAAGCATGTACTCGGATATTTTCAAATTCACTCAGTACAATAGAATGTATCGGGTATTTTTTATATTAAGCAGTTTAAGTACAAGTACATGATTCAAAAAGTATCTTGGCCTAAATAGGTACCAAGTAACCCAAAATGTATTTAGAGTACTTATAAGTGCAGACTACTTGTAACCAAGTACCGCACAACTCTGATCCAGAGCCAGTAATATTCAAAATTTGAACTATTATCGGCACTCGAAGAATTTAGAGAATTTCAAAGATTAGAATCAATAATAGTCTGAATTACCGGCTCTCAATTCATTGGAAAATTGCTCTAGTGGCAATCAAGAGTCAGCAATAAGTCAAATTAGGATTTTCTTTCACTGGATCTTAATTCATCGGAAAAATCTTTGGATAATTCTCTCTGATTTCCAATTGCTATAAAATTTCTCTAGAGCAATCAGGAGCCGTTTAATAGTCCATATTTTTATTATTATCGGCTCTTGACTATCACTGTAGCATCTTTTCAAAAAATCCAGCGCCAATAATATTCAAACAATTATCGGTACTCGATTCGCTGGAAAAAAGTATCTTCATCTGAGTACCAACTAACTCGAAATGTACTCAGATTATAAATGAAGAGTACTTGTAACCGAGTATCGCACAGCTCTATACACGACTGCATCCGAAGTTCTTGGATATCTATTTATATCTTCACCAGATTTCCATAGATTTCCAAACATCTACTAACTCAAATATCGCAGATAAATAATGACCTGGAGATAATAGAGGACTGGGGTAACAAAAACCTTGTACAGTTCAACGCGCAGAAAACCCAAGCAGCTCTGTTTTCAAAAAAGACCAGCACCGGTGAGCCAAAC